CTCGCGAGGTCATGTGGAGCCCGCCCTCACCGCCAGCTCCCAGGCCGCAGCGGCCGCCGACGAGCGTCGGGCGGAGCCAGCGGACAGGTGGCAAGGGCGCGCAGTTGGGCGATCGGTTGAAAGACGGAACCCAGGTGTGTCGCGAGTTCAACGCCGGGGAGTGCTCCGAGTCGTGCCCTCGCGGGTATAAGCACGTTTGTTCCGTCGTGCTCAACAAGACGGGGCGCTTGTGTGGCATGTCGAACCACTGCGCCCTCAAGTGCACCAGGAGCCCGGGTCTCAGTTTTTGGTTTCCCTGATAGCTTAAAGGGGGCGGCCCGGGTCCGGGGAAAGGCGACGGTTAGCGCCGAATGTTCGGAACACCCGGCGTTGTAGTTTGCGACACGAGGAACGCGAGCGGGGGCGCGGCCGACGGCGGCAAGCGCGGCCGCAAGGGCGATTGAAACGCACCCGCTGCCGCGCCGCTCGCCGCGGCAGAAGGGGCAGTCACCAGTGGGGTCGCGTGCCCCAGCGTCGTGGGCGTGCGATGGAGCCAGGCGGACATCGCTGTGAAAATTCGGAAGTCCTTTCCGGAAGATCGTTGATTTCGCCATCTGGGCGGAGCTGCAGGACGAAGGACTACCTCTGGGATGTTCTCTGGGCAGAAATTCCAAGGGGCGCGCGAGCGCCGTGTTGGGTCGCCAGGCAGGCGTGCTCGACCACAGGCTAGCGCTGGCGCCGGTTATCGAACTCGGCGTGGGGGAGCGGGCACACCTCGCTCAATGCATCGAATTCGCGAGCGCGGGGCGATTGCCATTCGACGATGAGTACATGGCACCCGTTGATTTGAAGTATGCTGCCTTTGCCACGGTTGCGTTCGCGTGGGCTGGTGGTAATCGGCTGAGGCAGTGGCGCGAGTCTTGCGCCGGGGCGTTGAAGGAGCTTAGTCAAAGGCTGGCGCCGGTGTCCCGCGCCCTTCGGCTCTGGCAAAGCCCCTCAGTACATGCCGTGGCGCAGAACACCCACATCGCGCTGATTTGTGTTCTGACTTGGGTGATGGGTTGGCCGGATTGGCAGCTGGCCCAGAGATTTGTGACCGGCTTCAATATCGTGGGGCGATTGGAGGAGACGGGTGTCTGGGAGCGGTGCGAAAGTTCGGAACCTGTTTCTGAAGACCGCTTGTTGGCGGAGTCCACCGCGCTTTTACGTTCCAGGGACAAGCGACGGGTTGATCCTGAGGCTGAGTTTCTTTGGGAATCATGCTTGAAGGAATGCGAGAAGGGCTGGGCTGCTCCTCCGGCGTCGCTGGCCGCGATGGACCGCGAGTACGGCGCCGGGCGCTGGGCGGCCGTGCCGTCGTTCGTGCACGTGCAGCAGAACGGCAAGCGTCGGCGGATAGACGATGCTAAAGCCGGTGGGCAGAACGGCGCGACGGTGTACCCTGAGAAGTGGCACTTGCCATCAGCGTTCACGCCTGCATTGTATGGCAAAGTCTTGAGGCAGCGGTCGGGAGGTACGCCAAACACCGGAGGTGGCCTTTTCCCCCTCCCCGCCGGCCGGTGTGTCGCGGGTTTCCCGCGGGCCGTTCCCCCAGGTCCGTTCGTGTGGGCCTAGTGGGCCCCTCCGGTGTCCAAGGGGCGTGGTCCGGCCCGGTGTTTGGCGTGCGCCCTCAGGCAGGAAGCTGCGGCGGGAGGCTTTGCCGATGAGGGCTTAACCCTTGAGACTGGAGGCGAGGACCTGCCGGACGCATACAGGTCCGTGCCGGTCAATCCCGCGCAGCTGCGATATAACGTCATTGCGGCGCGGGAACCGCGCAGCGGGGAGTGGCGATACTTGACTGCATTCGCCATGCTGTTCGGCTTGTCGTCGAGTGTTATGAATTTCATGCGGTGGTCTGCCTTTCTGGAAGCCGCTGCCAGGCGCGTGGCGGCATTGTTGCACACAATGTATGTCGATGATGGCAGTCTTGGGGACCTCGGATTGGCGAAAGGCTCGGGACAGGCTTTACTCAACGTCTTGTTTTCGGAGTTGGGTACCCCGAATGCCAGCGCGAAGCAGCAGCGCATGGCCGCCACTGGGGCATTCTTGGGAGTCGATCACGACGTGTCTCGGGTTTTTGAAGGCAGAGGGGTGGTCTCCTTTTGGCCGAAGGCCAGCATGATTGACAAAATCAAAGGCCTGCTCGCGGAGCACCGTGCGCGGAACAGCCTGACACCAGCGGAGGCCTCGAAGCTCCGGGGCATTCTGCAGTGGTCGTCCTCCGCGATGTTCAACGGCGTCGGCAGCGCCGCGATGGCGCCGCTGAAGCAGAGGCAGTACACTGACGCGCCTCCGTGGGCGTTATCCCACGCGATTCGGCGGTGCTTCGATTACTTCGAATTTGTAATAGACCTTGCCCCGAAGAGAAGCGTCGACGTGAGCCCGCCCTCGTGTCCGCTGATTGTGATCGCAAGCGACGCGCGGGCTGACGGGGCGACCGCGCCCACAGGCGGCTACCTCCTGGTCGATTGCTTGACAGGGGAGCGTGTGGGAGGATGGTGTGTATTCGACGATGCCATACTCGCGGAGTGGGGTTTCTCGCCGGCGGACCGGGAGAGGGGCGCGAATCCGATCGCCCTCTGTGAGGGGGCCATGGTCCCCATTGTCCTGGCGCAAGAGGCGCGGAGGTGCCGAGGGAGGCGCATCCTGTGGGTGCTTGACAACACGAGCGCTCTCCACAGCTTCGTGAGTGGCAGGTGCGACCATGCTACCCTGGACCGGAGCGTCAAGCTTATGAATTTCTTCAAGGCGCGCGCCGCGAGGGCAAATCGCGGGGGGACGCGCCGTGCAGCGTGTCGCGCCAGTTTCACTGCGACATGTCCACCTGGCTCGAGTGGGTAGACTCGAAAAGCAACTGGTCGGACGGGATCTCACGGCGCGCCGTGCGCGCGCGGGGGCGGCCTTCCCCCGAGTCGTCCACTCGCGCGGTGCCAGGCGGCTCGGCGAGGATAGCTTCGCCCGGGAGAATGGTTTTCGTACCGGCGAGGTGAGAGTGGACCCGGCCGCGTGGCGCGGGTGCTTACTAGACGCGTGGCGTTGGGTGCTACGGCGCGCGGAAGGCGCGTTCCGCGAGGGCAATTCGCGGGGGGTGGGCCGCGGCGTGCAGCGTGCCGCGCCAGGCTCAGTGGATTCGCCGTAAAGAAGGAGTCCGCGCAGGAGAGGTGAGCGCGGGCCCAGCCGCGGGGCACGGGCATGCCTCAGACACGGGGCGCCGTGTACATCGACGCGCGATTGCGGAGCGGCGTCGGACCCAGAACAGCGTTGGGGGTGCAGAAACGCGGAGCCAGAGCAGCGTTGGGGAGAGCGGCATTACTGGCGAGCCACGCCAGGGTCTTGCCTTCTTCACGCAGGTGTTCCATTCGGGGGGTTTGGTCACCCCAAGGTCGTTCTGCACCCCCGGAGCACCGTTACACTTTCTGGGGTCGGGGGACGGGGTATGGGTTGGGGGAATGGGTGGGAGGATGGGGCCGTCGCGCGCCGTGTTCGCAGGTGGAGCGCGCGCGCGCGCGGAGGAGCGGGCCGCCCGCGTGCGCTTCGCGCCGCGGCGGGGCGCGTGCGATTCGCGGCGCGCGAAAGTTGCCAGGGGCCGCGCAGGGCGCGGCGCGGGGAATAGGCTGTCGGTGATTATGCGTTGACTTTAGGCTCGGGGAGGCTCGGGTCAGGGAACCATAATCATGACAGAAGGGGACGCCCGCGCGCGCTCGCAGGGACTGCGCGCATCAGAGCGCGCAATTGGATCGTGCGAGCAAAGCGCGTTGGCGACAGCGGTTGCTGTTGGTTTGTTTCCCACCCACCGCACCCTGGGCCCCGGTGGGGTTACCGGGGAGAATTTGGGATGGGCGCCGGCGTGGACTTCGCCGTGCAAGAGGCGATGCGCACCGGCTGCGAGGGGTCCTGCCTCGGGTCGGCCGAACGTGTGCGTCGCAGGTGCGAGAACGCCGCGCAGGTCAGCGCGTGCGGGGAGGGGGCCTTCCTTCCCTGGTGGCCGCTGGCAGCGGTCGCATCACCAGGTGTAACGTCTGACAGGTGCGCGACATGTTTTGCGCGCGCGAACACGCCCGCCGTATCCCGACCCCCGGTGGGGTGCTCGGGTCGGCGAGGGCGGCGCCGGACGCCGGCAGTGTTCGCTTTCCCCGTGGGGAGAGCGGCATTACTGGCGAGCCACGCCAGGGTCTTGCCTTCTTCACGCAGGTGTTCCATTCGGGGGGTTTGGTCACCCCAAGGTCGTTCTGCACCCCCGGAGCACCGTTACACTTTCTGGGGTCGGGGGACGGGGTATGGGTTGGGGGAATGGGTGGGAGGATGGGGCCGTCGCGCGCCGTGTTCGCAGGTGGAGCGCGCGCGCGCGCGGAGGAGCGGGCCGCCCGCGTGCGCTTCGCGCCGCGGCGGGGCGCGTGCGATTCGCGGCGCGCGAAAGTTGCCAGGGGCCGCGCAGGGCGCGGCGCGGGGAATAGCTGTCGGTGATTATGTCCGAACGTCATAGGGCGGGAAGCTGGGTGTGGGTGGTGGCGAAGAGTCGTTTGGAAATGTGGTAGAGCTTGAACCGGCCCCCCCCACAAAGTGGGGGGCGGGCGTCCTATGAAAACCCTGGCACTGGTGAGAACGGAGTGTCCCCACGTGCTAATTGTTGTTGTTGTTGTTGTTGTTGTTGTTGTTGTTGTTGTTGTTGTTGTTGTTGTTGTTGTTGTTGTTGTTGTTGTTGTTGTTGTTGTTGTTGTTGTTTGTTGTTGTTGTTGTTGTTGTTGTTGTTGTTTGTTGTTGTTGTTGTTGTTGTTGTTGTTGTTGTTGTTGTTGTTGTTGTTGTTGTTGTTGTTGTTGTTGTTGTTGTTGTTGTTGTTGTTGTTGTTTTTTCTTTATTATTATTATTATTATTATTTTTGTTTTTTCCCTATCTCTCTCTTTCTACTCTTCCTTTTTTTGCCAGATTTTTTCACCACGTGATCGTGCCTGGGATCTCTCACCTCTCGGCTGGCCGGCAGCAGGAGGAGGTGGGCATGCGGAGCGGCGCCGCGGACGCCCGGCCGTCCGGCAGGGCGGTGACCCTCAACAGCAGCAGCCAGCAGATGCGGCCAGCGCGGCGGCTGGGCGGCACGAAGCGGTGGCAGGGCGTACAGCGGACGGACGAGGCCCGGCGCGGGCGTTCCAAATGGGGGTCGGGGAGGAGAACTTCGCGCCCCCACAGGCTGGGGGGAGTGGGGAGGAGGAGCAGGCGGAGGAGGGAGGGCGAAGGGTGGGAAGAGGGGTGGGTGAGGAGGAGGAGGAGGAGGAGGAGGAGGAGGAGGAGGAAGAGGGGAAGGAGGAGGAGGACGTGGAGGAGGAGGAGGAGGAGGCGGAGGAGGAGGACGGATTGATGATGACGATGATGATGATGATCATGATGCTGATGATGATGCTGCTGCTGATGTGGATGATGCTGTTTGTTGTTGTCGTTCTTGTTGTTGTCATTGTCGTTGTTGTTGATGATGATTATGCTGCTGCTGATGATGTCGTTGTTGGCGATGAGGAAGAGGATGATGAGGATGAGTTGGAGGAGGAGGAGCGAGGAAGGCGGAAGGATAATGGAAGGATGATAATGCTTATGATGATGCTGCTGCTGATGCTGCTGCTTCCGATGATGAAGATGATGATGCTGATGATGATGGTGGTGGTGATGATGATGATGATAGTGATGATGAGGAGGAGCGGGAACAGGATGAGGAGACTCCTCCTCCTTTTCCACATTGTCCTCCTGTTTCCTCTCCTTCCTGCCCCCCCTGCCCCGATGCCAGATCAACGAGTATTGGTTCCCCTTCCGAGTATCAATTTCTCTGCTGCATCTGTATATATATGTGTATATATATGTATAAATATATATGTGTATATATATATACATACACACAGGACTGCATTGGCGCTTCGCGCCATGCGCCTTGTTCCAGACGCTTCCCCGGCAAAGCAATAAGTCATCGCTTGCTTCAGTGGGGGGGGACCTCGAGGCCTGAACAGGCGACCGGTTCATTTTTCTGATACCTTTGGTGTCTGCTGACGCCGCGTTCGCCCGATATGCTTGCACGCTTGTGCGCAGGAGTGGGGGAATAAAGATGTTTTTTTCACGCGCGAAGGTGCTTGCAAACGATGACGCATCAAACTGTTGCGATGGCGCCTGTCTCTGAACGG